TTTTCTTCTTTATAAATAAATCATTTTCGTTAAATTAAAATTCGGTTTCTTGAGTAATGTAATGGAATTGATATATTATTTAAAGATGTCTATTTTTTTTCTAATATAACCCAAAGCCTTTCCGTGTCTTTTTCGATTAAGTTCATTTTGACCGTTATTAAATTTGTATGAATCAAATCTAATGTGGGTTAGACTTTTGGATTTTAAATCATTGTATGTCACATCGATGTTGTTATTTAATTATTTATGCCAGTATTCTACACACGTTTTTTATTGTATTTTGTGTCTCGTGAAAACTTTTTGTAAATATTTTATTTACTTAATTAAAAACTAATACATTGTTTTTTTCGTTATTTTCTAACTTCCGTCCAATACAAACAATAACCGATTTCGTTTAATCTGAATTTAGAAAATACACAAATAAAATTAGAAGTACGATATTGATTTATTTGAATTTTTTGTCTATTATGGTAACTATTTTCAAATAAAAATCATTGAAATCTAATTGCGGGAGTCTGCGAACGTCGTCTGATGTATTTGACTTAACTTAAAATACAAATGAATGAAGTTCAGTAATTCGGTAATTAGTTATTACAACTTGATACATGATGGTTGTAGGTAATATTGTTGAAAATTTGGTTACAAACTATTATGGATCCTATTTTGGAGCAGAGTTTAATTTTTGGAACTTGTATTTTGTTGTAGATACCGTTATAATACATCCTATGTTTGTGTAATAGTTGGGTAGATAGTTGGTACCTTTTGAAACTTTTATACTTTTCATCGGAGCATAGTTTTTTAATAAAGGTTTAATTGAGTGGACTTATAAAGCTGATTATATAAAACGCGTTGGAATTAATTCATAGTATGTATCTCAATTGATTTTAATTAGAAAAATGTATCATACATTCACAAAGCCTTTATAATATGTATATGTTTTATTGTATATATGGATAAATATATAGGTAAATAGATAGAGTGAGAGATAGGGATACACTATAAATGATAATTAAATGAATGACGGTTTATTTTTATTTGGATAAATAGGTATTTAAAAAAAGAACGACATTAACTTACGTTAAAAAAAATTTCATTTGATTGCACCGATATTGTTCAAATAAATATAGTAATACTTCTCTGTTAGTTTGTACCTCAAATTTATCTAACAGCCACTCTAATCTTAATTTGTCTTCAGACAATCGTTTTTGTTTAAATATTTAAGCTTCTTAAATTATAATTTTAAAACAGTCCCTTATTTTATTCGTAATTAATTCTAATTGTATAATATAATCATTTACGTAGATTCTTAATGTATTTAATTTTAAATATTCGTTCTTAAGTTATATGGATTTATAATGAATCCTAAGACACTGTCTTCATGTCAAACTATAAACAGATTATAGATATATTAAAACATTAATAATGTCCACCTATTCACGGAATTAATTATGATTTTAACAGTGTTATTCAAACGTGTTCACTGTATTGATCTCATAATACAAAATGTCATACTACATTATATAGATGAATAAATTAATGTTTTTAATTGCTCTGTAATGACTCAACGTTTTTAAGGTATAATACCTACGCAAGTTTTAATGTCGTCTGAATGAGTTAAATGATTATTCAATAACATTTACAATAAAACTAAAATATAAGGTTTACTCAATATAGTGATTATAAATAATACATTCTTTCTGATGAAAAGTAAGACATTCTATTTAAAAACAATAACATTTGTTATCAAATAATAATAACTATAATAGTATTTTACTACTACATATTAAAGTAATGATTGAAATTCCAAATTAGTTTTCACATGGTTTAGGATATTTGTGGCATCCTTAAAAACTTTTGAGTACCTACTTAAAAGTAAAAACATTAACAATAGAAAATTAGAAAATATCCTTATCAAAAGTAATAAAATAACTGGTTACAAGCATTTTGTTTTAAAATTGATTTATCACTTGCCTTATAATAGAGAACACTAGGTAATTTAATAGAGAAGAATAATTTCATATACGTTTTTTGTGTAGGTATTTTATGTTCATAAAAAATTTAAATAATATTTTTTAAATATCAAACCTCTCTACTATAATATGCGCTATGCACTTATTCAAAATTATTATTTTCAAAGGTGCTCAATAATTATAACAATCAGTAATCGTTTTAAAGTACTTCATCTGAAGTTTTTATTTTCATGTAAACATTTTTTATGTATATTCTTTCAGTCATTTAATGTCTGTCACTTTTTGGTTTTGTTTTTTTTTTTTTAATCCACAAAGTGTAGGTATATTATAATATTATACACTAAAGCCGTATAATTTCGTTCAACTAGGTACTGTAATATTTTAAAATGTGCTTTATTATATATTTTTTTATGAGTAATCACCTTGGGAGACGGATCACACTAGCGTAAACTTTTTAAATAAAAAAAAGTTTGTTATGCTCATGATATATACACCTTTATATATATGTATATGTGTGTGTAAATATTTATATAGACTCAAAAGCAAAGCAGCCAGCTCATTGTCGTCGATATCAGGGATTTATACGATGCGTGTGATGTGATGATATATTATAATTCCCACGTGACGACGTATAGTTGCAACTCCAAGATGACAAGAAGCGTTAAGGGAAAAAAAATAATAGTAAATAGTAGTCGAGTGAAAGAAAAATATGTTTACACACTGAAAACGAACGTGTCAGAAGTAAACGCGTTATTACGGAATAGAGAACAAAATTGTTATTATCTTAAACAGTTACACGTGGATGTGTAAAGGATATATTATTATTATTTTCGCGTATAAGGAAGTCTGTAGGTAAATAAATCGACTTTGAAGTGAAGTTTACACAGCTATCTTAACGACTCCTTTGTTTCGTGTAACATATTATATTAACCGAACATATAATAGTTTACAATCAATTATTCAAGCAAAGTCTCGGAAACATGACTTTGAAGTATTAAAAAAAAATTATATTTGTTAACAGATATTAATTATATTGAACATTTAATGTACAGTAAAATTATTTCTGAATAAAACTCGCGGATTTATCATTTTTTTTTTTCATCTTCCTGGTTATGTTTTGAATAGAGCATGAAGCAGAATTACTTGCGTACATCATCATAACAAAATAGCCATCTATTATCAAGTACTTACCTATTTTTATGCTACTACAGTCTTGTACCATATTAAAATATATGGTTTCTTTTTCGGAAACTTTTCATGAATTTCAAAGTGTATAATATGCAACGTATTTTTAATAGTGAACTTTATATACTGAAAACGTTGTTGATTTTAGTGAAAAAATTGTTTATGATTATGTAAGTACCCTATATTTTACCGTTGTAGAGACGATTATTCTCCCGAAAAATGACCACATTTAACCGTTCAGCAATATTAATATAATACACTTTGGTATTTTATTATCATGAATCTCTATATAAATATCCAAAAATATGAAATGAAAAAATTCCAGAGGCATCAAATTTGAAATATTGTGACTTCAACATAAATTTAATTACATCACAGTTAAAAAAATCCACACATTTTATAACGATAAATATTAATACTTTTTAATATAAATAAATTATAATTAATATTGGTATCGCAGTTAACATGATATTGTGAACAAACCTTAACATCCCTATCAATGCATACTGACAAAACGCTGTAGGTAGATAGTTGATTTGACAACTATTAATTTTAAGATAAGATGCAAATACATTATTTCATTAGCACAATATACATATTTTAAATAAAATATGTAAAGAGAAAAAATAAAACTATAGGTTTCATGCCTGTACGGTAATCCCCAAAAAGCTATGAATTATGAACAATTCGGGAGGCTTGCGTGATTCAGTGGATATGAAATTTCGAATTTCTTTTCATACCATTTTTCAGTAGGTACTCTATTTGTTTGAGATATTATTATAAACGGTTGCCATTTTCCGGAGTAACGACTGCTGTAGAAAAGCGTTAATCGAGGTGTCCCTCGTGCGCGGGACACATTCACGACTAACTCGATTAATATTCCGGGCCGACTCTAGTGCATCGCAGGACTAACATATTATCGTATCCCAAATGGAGATTTTTCTTCACCATGTCTGAATTGTAATCTATTGAAACGGTTGTCATAGTCTATTCCATTTAAGTGACCGTATAGGATATGTATATTATGTAGTTAAATATGGTGAATTTACGCAAAAAAATAACGCTACATTTACCGGTAAATTGTGAAAAATGGTAATATACCCGTAACTGGATGTGAATAATATGCCTAACACCATTCTCCATAGGTATGAAATGCAAACATTAAAAGCTGTCATCAAAATATAATCACAAATAACAATGAATAATTATGTATGATATGGCAATAATAAGTAACAGTTAGTCAGTGATTTTGGTGCGTATGTATGCTGTTAACCATTTAATGGTATACCATTAGCTATAGGTGCTAATAATAATACAGTGACAGCCTCCAGAAATGTATAACATGTTTCATAAATCATAATCCATTACAATTCATTTAAAATGTAACGTAACAAATAAACCAATATATCTTTTTTACCTTGTAAATAAAATACTGCACTCACATCTCTAGTGTTATGGTAAGTATTACGAGTGGTGGCGAGAAACGCCTGGAAATCTTGTCGGTCTGAATATAATAATAATGGCATAATGTATACGGTACGCATACATATAACGTAATATTATTTATTTTTTAAGAACAAAATGTGCGGAAAATAGGAAATTGATCGTCTGCCGGAAAGTAATAATAATATCATGTTTGTAGCGGCTAGTCGCGGCCGCGTAATGGTTTTTTAATGTCGGTGCATTAGACCGACGGCATGGAAGTCACGGACAGGGGGGTAAAAAATATTGTGAGGAGCACGAGGACCAACGCGCTACAGCTGCTCGAAAATAATGATACTGTATATTATTGTTTTATTTCATTTATGTTCGTAGTATCATCATGCGGTAAATTCGGTGTCTTACCGTTGTGAGGCCTTGGTCTTCTGGCTGGGCGACTGTCGTTATTCACTTGCAAAAAAAAAAAAAAGATCTAAAAGATCCGAAGATAAACAATACTAGGTACTAACAAAAAAAAAACGAAAAAAATTCCAAAAACTGCGAGAACTGCGAAAATGTACCAAACTAATATTTCGCGAACCCGAAGTCGGCCAGAATACGGTACAAGTCGTGTGTGGTCCGGCGGTTGCGGTCCACCGTGAAACTTTACGCGTTCGTGGGGTCGCCGACGAGTTATAAAGTGGCGCGCGGGCGCTGGATATACGTTCGACGGTTTTCCTACGTGTCAGCGAGAGTACTGCGTTCGGTTCGGGCGCCACACACGGCGGCCGGCTAACGCCACCTCAACCACCCCTAAATCAACTCTCCAGCCCCGTACCATTCCACCCCCTCGGCTTTTGGATGGAGAGTGCGGGGGAGGGTAGCGCAAGCGCACCGTCCGCCCGCGCGAAATTCGCCGACACCAGTTACACGGTCTCGCGCTACCACGATTTTTCGTCCTCGCCCCGTCTCCAGTTGGTCTGTTATTATCGTCGTTATTATATTAAATCATGTCATAAATATTTCGACAGCGGACACGACTCGATAGTGATGAAATGAAAAAAAACGCTGAGACGGCTATGGGAAAGCAGTGCTACACCTACGAAGTATATTATAATATGACATTCCAGAACACTGCCCACTCTCGAAACAGTACCATTTACTATTATTATATTAGTGTGTTACTTGCACGACTTGCATCGCACTCATATGACGTACAGTATAATGATACGGACGACGATATTGTTGGTAAGTGCCCTTCCATAGAGGGTGATCGGGCAAACCAGAAGAGTTATAGATAGGGGAAAATGTAGTGTCATTCTCCACGTGGTAGTCACGATTTATAGGTGGAAGGTACGACACCTACAATATAATCCAATTTTATAAAAGTACCTATGCTTTTTGTCTTTACATAAATTATGAAAGTACGAAGCTATAACAATTTTAAAATAAGCATTTAAGACGTATTTCAAATAAAATATCCGGGGAAAAAGTGTTTAGAAGAACCAATGTAAATTCTCAAGTACCTGCCTACCTAGTCTACTACGTAAGCACTAAATCAAATCGCAAAATGGTTATTGGTTACCACTGTTAAAAGTTTGGTTGGGTTAGGTTCAGCACATTCAATATTTTTAGTGCATTATGGAACAAAAATATTCTATACGACGTGACAATGGAGTTTCCTTGTTTGAAAATATGTAATGATTAATGCTTAATGATGGAGAACTGCGTATCCATACATCCAAAGGATTCAATTATTGATGATTTTTTACATCAATGATAACAATTAATTAATATTGTAATAATAATATTTTTGAACAACAATCTTTTTTCAAATATATTTTTATAATTTATAAATTAATTCCTCATGTTTTTTGGTTTCAGAACCAATAATTATATTTTATATAACATGTTTATTTTTCATAATAAATTGTGTGAACTATTGGAACTTGCTCTTCGAAGGATATCGCTTACAACTCCGGTGAACCACGTGTAGATCGTGACAATTACGTTAGAGCTCCTACAGCACCATTCTCGTTCGCACTAAACTTTATTCCAAGACCAGTATGATGCTATAATTATCAGTTGTGCTGATATCGGCCAACTATAAAAACAAGTTACAAGTTAAATTCGCAATATAGATTTTATTAAAATTCGTTAATGAAAATGTTTTTTTTTCAAAGTTTTTCAATATCTACCTGCTAGAAAACTATTCATATAAAAATAAATACTTAAAAACATTGACGAGATGCTTTGTGACCGGTTTGAAAATAACGGAAATAGCGTTTATTCTTCGTCAATCATTGCAACTGTTGTTGTTGTTGTTGTTGTTGTTGTTGTTGTTGTTGTTGTTGTTGTTGTTGCTGTTGTTGTAGTGTCATAGTTGTTGGATCTTGTAGTGGTGTCATAATAAGACTCATTGAAACCTGATCAGTGACTCACATAACCTAACCTAACCAAATTTCGTGGGGAGTGCAATGTTATTTGAATAGCACTCAGATATCGAATGTTTACGCTTAATAATATACAGTTGCTAATGCATTGATTCAGTAGAGTCGTATGAAACTTGTTTACCACTTGTTAATTTGCACGTGTATAATATTATTGCCGAGACCACCGATGTCGCGTTATAATTTGTTTACCTACGCATAAAGTTTCTCTACCCTCATCAACAATACGAAAATAAAATAAAAAACTCGTCCCATGTACGAATTAACATTTTAAGGTTTCGGTGGAGTCGAAATAATTGCATAGTTTTTTTCATTTTTTAAAGAAGCGAACATATTATTTATATATTATTTTGTGGAGATGATTTAAAATATACATTGTACATAATATATTGATTGATATGGATCAATTTAACTCACAAATATGTCCCTCGTTCAATATTTTTTGAAAATGAATACCATACACTACTTGTGTAAAACATGTTTTTAATTTTCGGGGTCCGGGAAAAAGCTATAACAATACTTTAGGTTGTAATTTTGAGAGTATCCGAAATTCATACAAAGACTTAGAGTGATATCTTGCAATCATTCAAAAACCTTATCACATTTTCAATGTGACTAAAATCGATTTAGTGAATGTGACATTAAAAATTGGTAGCATGCAAACATCGACAAATAATGCATTAATTGTTTTCAATTCATCAATGGGTGAATAGATATTTAAATATTAATAAGAAATTGGAAATGGTATTAAATATAAGGGACTTAGCAATTTAAGTATTATATTGTCATCGGATTTCTCTTTTAATAAAACTGTAAGATTTATTAATCGAAATTGTGAAGGATTTAATACCTAGCTTACATTTCTTAATAACTTTGTTATATGTATTAGTCTGATCGTTAAAAATTGGTGAAGAAAAAATTTTTGGAATTTGAATTATTTCATTTAAGGAGAGAGGCTGGGTCCATTTGCTAATTAGAAAAATCGTTTTTGCAAACAAAAGGATAACGATAGAGTTTCAAGCCGGGTTGTGCAAATACACGCTTATTTGGTTTTTTAATTACAATAATCACAGTGTTTAATTTTGTAACTTTTTGTTGATAAATGGTTGAATTATAATTGCCAAGATTTGTTTGCAATCTTTTTTTTTTTATAAGGGAAGGTTTCCAGTAATTTGAATGTGCATTTGTATTTTTATTATAGAGTTTATTTGATGATAAAACTGTTTACCATATATAATTTTGCAGGTGCCTATGTAAACTTGAATTAATTAATTTCAAGTTAAAGGATTATTTGTGCTATTCTCAAACTTACGAAACTATTATCTAATACTTTTACAACGATGACTCTTTTAAAGTAATGTTTGCGTTTCTTATGTTTAATTAACCATTAAGATACTAATATATATTTAGGAACTTAATGAAAAGATACTCTGAATTATTTTTCTGTAATTATTCCAAGATAATTGTAAAATTAAATAATATTTTAATAATTTTAAATATTTTACCATTGATGTATTAATGCTATTAAATCAATTTCAAATATAAAAACCTACATGTAGACGTTAATTCTTGGTAATTATTATTGCTATTAACTAACAAAAATAATAAATATCATAAAAGATAATAGCTTAAGCCTTGAGGCAAATAAAATACTGACTAATACAATGACATTTATAATTAAGACTAATTTAATTAATCATTTGTAACTATTAGGTACTACACTTATTATAATATATTTTAAGATAATATAATGTAAACCTGTAAAGTTGTTGCAGCCAGTGGCCTTAATTACCGAACCTAATCGCTATGTTTATTAATATTTATAAAATAATAATTAACTAACAATTTATTGATTCCTTCATACAAACAGGAAATCAAGATTTAAAATAATCAACTGAATAGTGATTGATAAATAGGTAATAGTACACTTTTGACAGATCTCAAATCATATTTAGTTCGAAAAGTCTTCGATTGATGGGTGGATTATTAAAATTCTTCTGAACAAAATATCTAATTTTCAAATTTTTTTTTGTACATAAATTGTATTAATTTCGTGTAAAATTATAAAAACAGAAAAATAACTTAAATGTTAATTATGTACTAGTATCAGACAATAATATTCTACAGTAAATATTGTTATTATACATTTTATTATTATCATAGAAAATACATTAGTCAAATATATATTAGTAAACATTTTTTATGGAAATACCTGCGAGATCATATTATTAATTTGTTCTACACTTTCTCTTCTATCAAATTATTCAAAATTAACACCTTCCAACGAATAACACAATCAATTACTTGACCCACTATCAATCTAACTAATCAAGTGGCCTATAATAAGAATTCCAATCATCGAACGCCCTTTTGTACTTGTCCATTATTGTTGGTGACTAGAGATAAAAATGGAGTATTTCGTATTTTCTTCTCCCAATGTTAATCGAACAGACGACGTGTAAAGAATAACGTGGATAGATTTAGTAGTGACTTTTGATAACGAGATTAGTGCCAGTGACTGGACGACAAGTATCGTTTCTCGAGTTTCATATTTTTGCGGCCCGTCCAATATCTCATGTTGTACGGGTGACACCGCAACAGAGTATATATGGTCGTCACATATCTTGACAAAATTGATAGGTTGGAGATGAAAATATAAAAATAGAACAAAATATGATGTAGATGGGTACTTTCGTGGGTTTCGGCGAAGGGTTAATTTATTAAGACGTCAGAGCGAATATAAGTGGATAACGTAATATTATTTTGATATTTAGTTTCGGTGCTATAGCCCTTTGTGTAAACTATACACTACCCACTACTAACTATTTTAACACTACTCAAATTTTTCACAATTCCAAAAGTATGAGATCAGCAGTTAAAAAATAAAAACTATTAGCTTTTTTTATTCCCTAAAAATCATTGAGTTTCGTTGTATAATAATGATAACCCATGATAAATTAGTTAATAAAATAAAAGTTGTGACAGAAGTATTTCAATTTTTTTTTTCCATTGTTCTTTGTACACGTGGCTCGTAGCACAGCTTTTATACATTGAAACGTTTTAAAATAATAATGTTCAACTGAAGTTTGTACTTATTTAAAACCATATTGACTGTATATAAAAAAGGTAGCTATAAAAACGAATTACAAATTGTGCATTGTGAATATTTTTTGTATTTAACTTCACTGAAGTATGAAACAAATCTGAATCATGGTTGGACTGTTCAAAGATCGAAAATAATATGAAAATATGACAAGATTTAATCATCGTATTCGTTCATATAATATTATGTATTTTGTTAAC